GCAACCGAACTTTCTTTGCAGGATTAGTATGGAGTACAATAGTGAAGAAAAATAACTATAGTTGTTGGACATGTCATTTGAACTTCTTTTGTTTTCTTGAGCTTAGGGTTGATATTAGTTTATGTATTTTTTTTTTTTTTATGACCTTAGTATTTTGACAATTTGGCATGCTTTTGTAACCTTACATTATTTAAATTGTTTTGACTATTTATTGTTACTTTAATGTAAGAGGTATTGGATAGTTATAAAATTATGGTGGATGGTTTGGTTGGCGTTTTGTTAGTTTTTTTTTTTTTTTATCCCTTGTAATCTTTTGAGGATGAAAACTTACTTAAACCCTTTGGAGATGTGAACGTTTAGATTTTGTTTCACCTCTATAGGATTTGGATGATGGAATCTTGGTTTGAGATTTAGTCCTAATTTAATATTCAATTATCCAATTTTTGAGGCATGACAAAATATATAATATTTATTTTTTATTTTTTATTTTTTGATAAATAATATTTACATCCAATTTGTGTCACAACTGGATTAAAAATCTCCTGCTTTAATCTTAACTAATTGTTTTAATCTTAACCAATTCATGTACAGCCCACAAGAACATGTGTAAGAAACAATTAATTAACAGAAACATGTTAAATATGAAAACTATCAAATCCTAGAGCTAGATAGCAATAACAATTTGTAGTGAACTCAAACTAATTGGATGCAAATTCAATCATTTTTGAAATTTAATTCAAAGAAAAAATATTGCAATCAAATCCAAATCCAAATCACTAGTATGTAGGAATGGAAATTTTTAATATCAAAATCAAATGAAAAATGTTTGAGATTGATTGATCTGTGGAACTGGATTTAAAAAAAATAAATATATAATTATAAATAAAATAAAAAATTAATTTTGTACATAATTTTGGCAACATTTACATAAATGTCATATAAAAATAATAAGAAAGAAATTTAAAAAAAAAAAAATCGTTTAAATGAATATAAGCTTTTGACATGTTATAATATATTATTTAAATGAACATTGATAGTTTTATGATGAATAAATGTATTTAATTACCAATAAATTAAAAGTTTCCACTTAAATTATGGAAACACACCGAATTATATATACCTGTTTGACACAAAATTCAAATAAATACATAATTAAAAAAAAAAAGAAGTTTAAAAAAATATCTGAAATTTTTTTCTACAAAATGTAAATAATAGTATTTATTTTGGTTTTCACCAATATCTCAAACATATTGCATATATAGGTCAATTTGTAAGTACATATCATATGTACTTGCGTAAATTCTCACAAATAAAAGTAAATTATCTCACAAAATCATGTAAGTTCTCACAAATATACATAAGTTGTGATATCTTAAATTTTTATAAATTAACTTACGTATATTTATAAAAACTTATGCACACGTAAGTTACCTCACAAAATCGCGTAAGTTTTAATAAATATACGTAAGTTAACCCATAAAAATTTGAGAATTACAACTTATGTATATTTGTCAGAACTTATGCGATTTTGTGAGATAACTTATGTAATTTTGTGAGAACTTACGCAAGTGTATATGATATGCACATTTTATATCCAAACACTTCGAAGTAGGAGAGGTAGCTAAGAAATTACTTTATTTTCGGTGAAAACATAATTTAACCTTGGCACAGCTTTCATATTACCATTAGACCTAAGACATAAGTTGTAGAATCATTAGAGACGGCAATCTCAAGCGAAAATTACAATATTGGCGTATTTGTGATTACCATCTTGTTACATTTCTTTTTAATTTAATTTTTTTTTTTAGAGAGAGAGAGAGAGAGAGAGTAAAATTGACATTCTTCAACTTAATTTCATCTTGATATCTCTCATGATTATTGCGACTGAATACGATGCTCTTCCCTTAATAAAAATTGAGTTGTAAATCTGGCAAACTAATCCAAGAACGATTAGAAAACTTGCTCAGTTAATTTTATCAAATTCAATTTAGCATTTAGAAGAATATAGAAGAAGAAAAAAATAGCTGAAATTTGCAATTAACTTCTACAAAATAGAACTTTGTGATGTCCAAACAAAGAAACTGATCATAGGTTCAATCGATGAGTTAACCCTTTTTGGCAACAGTTAGAAAAATCACATTTTTTCTTTTACTTTTTTGTTTGTAGTAACATTTTATAAATTTGAGTCAATTGTTTTTAATCTAGAAAAATTTATAAAAAGTAAACCAAAAAAAATTGCCCTTTTTAGATTATACAGTATGTAATTTCTAGAACCACATGAGACAATTCATATTTTAAATAAATTTTAAATGGTGTAATTTTAATCTACCCTTAAATGAAATAAAATATATAAATGCAAGGCTGCCCCATTGACTGAATAGAGTACCCATAATTAAGAGATACTCCGTTCTAGTGAAAAGGCAGAATTTCTCTAGCAAAAGCAGCAGCACAGAAATAAATTGAAGTAAATCCAAATAGCATCCTACAGTTTGTAAGGATTACTGATTTTTTTCGCCAGCTTTTTTAAATTTGATTATAATGTTTAATTTTGTTTTTCTCAGCTTGCTTTGGCATGGCAAGGATTTAAAAATAAAAAAAAAATAAAAAAATAAAAACTGTAAATCATTTGTCCACATTAGAGCACAAGATTTTACCGATCGCGATTGGTAGCTCGAGATTTTTGGCTTGAAATTGGCTCGAAAAAGTGAGAGAGAAGGAGGAGGAGGAGGAGGGAGAGGCTGGAGGAGGGGCGGAGGAGGAGGAGGGACTGGAGGGGGCCAACATATCGGGGTGGAGGCGGAGGCGGGGGGCGGAGGCGGAGGCGGAGGCAGAGGCAGGGGCTACCAGGGGCGGGGCTGCGACGACGAGCTGCAACATCCCGGCGACGAGCTCTTCCCTGCGACGGCAATGAGCTCTTTCCTGCAACGGCGACGAGCTGCGACCTGCCTCTCCCTCTCCCTGTCTCAGAGCTGCATGAAGAAGACGAAGGAAAAAAAAAAGAAAAAAGAAAATGCCCAAAACGACGTCGTTTTGGGCATTAAGAAGAAGAAGAAGAAGAAAAAAAAAAAAAAAGACAGCCCAAAACGACGTCATTTTGGGTTGTCGAGCCAAAATCGAGTCACGAATTTCCAGCTACCAGTCATTTTCGAGATTTTACATGGTTTACTTTAAAAGTTAAAGTTCGGTTCATGGTTGCTACAGTCACTATGATCATAAAAATTAGAGCTGAAAAAATTGAGAAAATATTATTTTACCTCTCAAATCTTCACAAGTTCTTTAATTTGAATTTTAAATTTCGATTAATATTAATTTTACAATCAAATTTTTAAAATTTTAATCAATTTAACCTCTATCATCACATTCGGTTTATAATTGAACGGAATATGCCAACGTGACAACAAAGTTAATTTGAAATTTTATTTTACTCCCAAATTATACCTTAAAAATCAATTTGTTCCTCCCAAATTATACATTAAAAATCAATTTGCCCCACAAGTCAACACATTCCGTCCAATTATAGACGAAATATAAAGGCAAAGACCAAATTGATCAAAAATTCAAAATTTTAGATGTAAAATTAATATTACTCAAAATCTAAAAGTCAAATTAAAAAAATATGTGAAAGTTTAAAGAACGAAATAATATTTTCCCAACAAAATTTTACATGGTTTACTTTTGTTCCGTTTGGTATAACTGTTTAAACAGATTATAAATTATAACTTAACAGATTATATATTATGACTTTAATCAGAAGCTGTTAATCTATTTGGTATAACTGATGGATTATAGATTTAAATTGCTGAGTAGTGTTTGTTAAATAAACTGTGAAGTAATTTTTTCGATTAATTTTTATTTTTTGTTATTCACTACTTGTCTACATTTCTCATTAAATAATAATAATAATAATAATAATAATAATAATAATAATAATCATCTATAATCCATTTGGGTCTTTTTCTATTTTTAAAAAAATAAAAAATAAAAAAATCTAAGAGTAGAGTTGATAATCAAAAGTAAGGGGTGAACAGTTTCTCAGAATCAACTTTTTTGAGTTAAAATAAATTATTAGAATCAGAAACTATTTGAAATAAGTTTAACTAAACAATTCAAAATAACTTTTCTAAAACTAAAAAGCTATAAATTAGGCTAAAGTTAGGTTCATGGTTGCTACAGTCAGTATGATCATAAAAAGTAGAGCTGACAAATTCAACCTGAACCTGCCCAATTACACTCGTTCAAATCCCGTTTAAACATGTTCAAATTCATAAATGGGTTTAAACATGTTGCAACTTACAATTCCAATTAAAATGGAATATAAATGGATTAGACATTAATATTCATTTAAACCTATCTAAATGGGTACCACTTTCTCAATCACTTAGTCGTCCACCACTACTATGCTTATTATCGCTATCACTCCACCACTATCACTAACACTACCATCACTCCACTATCACTACTTACTAAAAATTAAAACAGTCAATAAAGTGAATAGATTAGTCAGATTCATTTTAATACAATCAATAAAGTAAATAGACTAGTCAGATTCATTTGCCAACCCCGTATCCAATTTCACATAACTGTTTAATCCTGTTTATTAGATTGAGTTCCTTTAAATACATAATAACCCGTTTAGACCCCCATCCTAACTGTCCGTTTGCCACTTCCAATAAAATGTTACTGGCGAGATATAAATATAGTCGCCCCCACAATTACATAGGCATATAATTGACATCAGATCATAAATGTAAAAATACCAAAAAATATTACTCCAAAATTGGGGTTACTTAACAGGCATCAACCAACACAGATTTCACAGCAATCTTTCCAGACCAAAAATATGAACCATATATCCACATCATACCAATTCAAAAGAACCATCTTAACTTTCATGATGGAGAGATCAGAAGCTGCTTTCCTGGCTCACAGATGTTCATTGCTGACCACTGCAAGCCTAACCTTGCATAACCTCAATCTGTGGATCTCGAACCCTTTAATTGTGTTTAGATCTTGGATTTATTAAACAAAAAACAAAAATACACTTCGGATAGCTCAATATAAAAACTATATATAACAATCTGCAGTTTCCCAGTATGTGAAATCTGGGTACACTTTCATGAGCATGATAGAGTAGCACGAAAATATACAAATACCTTCAAGAAAAAACATAATATGATGTGTCGGCAGACAACAAAATCAGCAAGAAACAACAAAGAACGAACTCATTCACAGCATGCTATCAGTCCTAGCTGGCAGACGCCGGAAGAAATTGATCGGCGCGGACGGCAACTTATGTCGAAACCTCGGATGCCTCATCACATAAAATCCGGCAATGACAATTAGTATCTGGAAAGGAGTCGCATACAACACAAAGGTGGCAAGAAGACAGAATGTTATGAAAATAACTGTAGCACGCGAATCACGCCAGCTCAGCAATGCCTGACACCGCTCACCTTGTGTAGCCACGTCACCCACCACAGTCTGAATCCTACCAGCTACGCTTCTCAATCGATCATACCTCATCCGAACCAATTCTGCATTTCGCGATGTAGGAAATGTGTCAAATTCCTCATCGAGTTCATCAGGGTGCACTGCTTCAGCATAGGAAATTCTAGTGTTCATGTGGGGAGGGTATTTTGGGCGGAATCTGTAATTCCAAAGCCCGATTAAGAACATGTACAGAAACACCGTGGGAAAGATCAGTTCTGGGAAATAGACGAGCAACGCAAAGAGAACGTGTACTAACACGGTCGTGATCGGTGTCTTCCATGCACAAACTTCCCCAAACCATTTCCAAACGGAAATTAATCCATTGAAAACAGACATTAGACGGTAAAAGTTTGCTTTGCTCCGCCTCATGCTCCAAAGATGTGAATTTGCATCGGTCATGTACTCAACTACTTCCCTCCTGAGAGGGGGTTCAGACCGGTTAAGCCGGGCTGCAACAATGTTGACAGCTTGGTAACGAAGCTGCTCGAGCTGCATTACACTCAACGGCCTCACATAGTGCATTTTTGGCAATAAGGGTCGCGAGTATATATACATCATGTTCATCATTGACACGCACGAAAACCGAATTGCCAAATGTAACTCGCCCATTTTCTTTACTCCGGAAGGGTGAAGAACTAGCAATGGATATGAATGGGTATAAACACGGCCAGTTTCAAGAGTAGAGATCCTTATACGAACCTTTCCAATTTTTATGTCCCTGTGAGTACCATTTATGTCACCAAGGTGACTGTTATCAAAAACCCCCACAGTGAGGACTGTGGCCGGATCATAAACCTCCCAAGTGTACTGCTCATTATATTTTGGGCTCAAGCTGTCGATGATTGTCCTTGTTCGAACCCATTTGTGACCATACTTTGCTACACAATATGTGTCCGATGTACCCTTCCCATCTCTTGTTTTCATCGGATGGAGAGCAGTAACATTTAAAATACCAAGTTCCAACATACCAATTGGTGACTTCCAGAGCTGTTTCGCTGAGGGCCGGAGATCACTGCTGTACTGAGTTGACTCATCAAGCACATGGTACCCCCCATCAAGGCAGACGCGAAGATGAATCCTACTAGCAAACTTATCCTTATCTTCATCTTTCTTTGACTGTTCCACATCACCCGAACTCCATCTCTGGAGGTTGAACCACCGGGAATGGAAAACCCGATCATCAACACGCCTTTCGATAGAGTGCAATGGTATTATGACCTTCCCAAGAATCTCATCTTTGTTGGGCGCAACACGGTCTTCAACTGTAAGGAATAAATGATCTTCAAAGGGTTCAGAGGCAACAAACATGAGATCCTCATTCCAGAGTGCATTCATTGTCCGAGCCTGAACAGGTTTCGTCTTCAAAACCTGGTTACCAATCACTGCCTTAACATATACATCAGGAAACCGAGTCTTTTCAGCTACAACCAAGTCTTGTACCTCAATCACATTAACCCGGACATACCATAATCTTGGGGACTGGTAGACTTTGGAGCGGATATGTGTCGAGCCCAGTGAGCTATCAATAGAAGAGGATGCATCCGAATGCCAAGCATCAGGAAAAGCCTCATCAGCTTGTGTGCCGATCCAAACAGCAAGCATTAGTTCCCCCCTGTTTTTCTCCCCATGCTTGTCTCCAAGACGATACCATTCTGGAGCCAACGGACTATCTGGAGGGACCCGTGTTGGGACCTCATTAAGATCAAACCGAACAATCCCAACAAAGTCATCTTTCACCATATCTTTATCCTTAACGACAACATCCAAGCTCGAGGATTGGAGTCTCTCTTTCGAAAAGGCAAACACCACATTCCACTCAGGGTAATGGTTTTTCTCAAGGTGCTTCGTGATTCCTCTATAGTTCCCGACTCTGACTTCAACAAAAGGATCAACGCCCCCAGTCAAATCCTTGGAGTGAAGGTCACGGGCTTTCACAACTCTCACAAAAAGAAAGTGCATTGGTTCAACAAGATCATAAGTACTGCTCGGTTTGTCTGCACGTATAACTCGGCCACCAACAATTCGTCCCCCTCCAAGAAAAGGGCTCGTCTCTTTAAGTGCATATTCAGCTGGCTGCGAAGACGAACCAGAGTACATGCGCACAATACTACGAGCCTGTGGCTCAGCTCTCATCTCATCAACTCCATAATTCACTGATTGATGGGTCACTGAAGCAGAAGACTGATGTGGTTGTTTCGGCTGTTGGTTTGGCTGGCTTGTGTTTGGCAGATGATGAAATGTGTGTCTAGGCTCAGTTTTGTTGCTAGAAAATAGGTTTCGGAAAAAACTTGGGCGTTGTTGAGCAGGTGCGTGAACTTGGGTCGAGTATGAATTTGTATGCACAGAAGATTCCATTTCAATTGCAGGAAGTGGATTTGAAGATTTAATGGAAGGATCATCAGTAATAAAAACTTTCAAACCAAGCTCTCCGCTTACATGTGAGAAAATGCCCCGTTTTTCTAAAGGGTAGTGCAAAACAACAGCGTCAAAGTGGGGGACAAATGCGGTCGATGTGATCCTAACCTTACCTAGGAAGGATTTGGATTGCGTATTGTTGAAGACATAGGCTTCAAGAGGGAGGTAAGATAACTTGTTTGGATCTGAGACATTGAAATAGAAAGTTTCATTCCAAACGGGGTTGAGATCTTTTTCTTTGACAGTGGTGCGGAATTTCATATTATCGAAGTGAAGCTCCACAAAGGTACTAGCTGAGCCCTGCCCATCTTTGGGCAAGAGGTGGTGAGCGCTCACAACCTCCACCCCTAACTTCAGATTGCTCATGGAGGTTTATCAGCACAAATTTTTGAAAAATGGGTGTATAAGCGTATGAAGTGATCTGCTACCAATGAGTAATAAGAAGCGAGTGTTACCTGAAAAGCAAGGACTGAAAGGGTCATTAATGGTAACTGCAACAATCACAACACACGCACATGCACACAACAACAATCGAAACAACCTCTTGCATCAATATACAAAGAAAGCTAAGACAACGTAGTCAGAAGTGACTATCAAATAAACAATGACAGATAAGACATGCATAGAGAAACTACTGGTAGACATTTATGTACTGCAGCCACAAACTGGTAAGGGAGAAAAATAAAAAAGAAAAAACAATTTCACAGTTGACACAAGAAACAAAGTTCTAGAAATACCAATCTAACAATCAGAAGTTAAGACAAACCCATGTTATCAATTACCTTTTTTCAAGAACAACAATCTATATCTAGAAACTTTCAAAGCTCAAATCTGAAAGCCATAGAATCTTACCGAACTCAACATAGTCTCAACGCAATTATACCAAAATTAAATTCCTGTGTCCCCTTTACTGTTAAGAGCCAGATTCCATTAAATCATAGGCTTGAACCATCTCAACCTGAGTGGAAATAATCTTAGGAGTACATACGTTTAGGTCCTAATAAGTGGACATATTGTCTAATAGGTCCTAAGAAAAAAATGTCAAAAAAATCACTAATTGTAAGTTTTAGCGACAATTTATAAAAATCATGACTAAAAAAAAGTCATTAATTGTCAATTTTTAGCAAGATATATAACAAATTGTCACAAAAAAAATACTTTTAGCGACAATTTTACCAAGACTTATTTTCAATAGGACTTTATAGGAATTAAGTCCAACTATTAAGACCTATTGGTAGTTTACCCGTACCCATTAAAGGAATTTGCAGCACCTCATCAACAATTTGACCAATAAAATACCTAGTATCAAAAGAGACATATTCATGAAAAATGAGAAGCAAGAAGTTGGGAAGGCATTCACAGCAGGTACAACCACAAGATGTAGATTAAAACCCATGAAGCAAATGAACTCATTTATACTATCAAAAGTAGTTAGGTTTAAACAGTTTCATGTACACAGGTTGGTTGAACTCATAATTTTCAAACCTATACTTCACTGACTACAAAAATTAATAATGTCCGACATATGCTAAATTTGTATAAATATCAGAGTAACTTGAAGAGATGATAACATTTGACAATGAAATTCTATTTCTATCAAAGACTCAGTTAAGAGGAACCATCTTCATCACTATTTCAAAACACATAGATCTTATCTCAAATTAGCAAGCTGATTGTCAACCATAATACGGGGACAGCAATCATCACACACAGAAGATCCTATTTCACAAAGTGATTTCATATATCCTTCTACATGGAACAATCATCAACTAGTGATCCATGAATTTGCTGAATTGTCTTTCAAATAGACTATTACATCTAGGAAGAGATTAAAGATCGTACTTCGACCAAAAAAGTTCATATAGTGACAACTAACATCATTTCATGAGCATTAACAAGCACATCTTCAAGAAACATATTGGCTGTGTTTGGTGGAGTTTTGGAAATTTAATTCGACATCTTGGTTTGAGTGTGTTGTTTGGTTACAATTTTCAAACATTGATTCCACACCCACTTTTGAAAACATGTCTACCCAGTCATCCTCCCAAATGTCCCCCGGACATCTGGCCGATTGATCGGAACAGTGTTTTTTTTAGCACCTGTTATTTTTATATTTTAAATAAAAAATGTTTTCGAAACTTTTTAAAAAATTTTTATGAGTTTTGAATAGGATTTTGGATTGTGTGTTTGGTTATAAGTTGTAAGTTTTTTAATCAAATATCATAAGCCACATCAAAAATTTCAAACTCAATTCAAAACTCTTTTCAAAACTCATAGCCAAACAAATTTTCCACATTCAAATCATAATTTCAAAACTTACAAACTCAAAATGCAAGTCTATTCTCAAATCATAATTCTAAAGTTATACCAAACGCTACCATTTATCTTTTGTTTTCTTTTACAACTGCCACTCTTCAATAAACATGTCATTCAAAGTTCAAAAATCTCACAAAACAACTTCCATTTTCTGCAAGCGTGAGTGATGACTGACTTGAATTGTTTCGTATTAAATTTTGATGTATTTAGCTTTACTTTAATTTCTAATGTTGTTCTAAATTTCCTACCGCCATGCACATATTTAAGACAATTATCCAAAATAAAATAAATTTTGAATTATTAAGGTTGTGTTTGGACCAAAGATTTGAGGACAGATACACGAAGGAAAAAAAAAAAGAAAAAGGCAAGGGAAGGGAAAACTGAACCAAATTTAGCATATATTTCATTCACTTTTCCCTTTATTTTTCCTTTCCCTGCACAAATCCTTTCTCAAATCTTTGGTCCAAACACACCCTAAAAGTGCACTTTAAGAGAAACAAGAAGAATAGACTATAGGCCATATATGATGATCAACTCATGTTGTCAGCCAGACAAAAGGTGAAAGGATGCCAATCAAAGATGGTTGTCTTAACTAATGTGAACCCTTGAGTTACCAATGCCAGATTCGAGTCATATGACCTTTTTTGCCCACATAAACAATGAGAATTCAGCTACAAATGATGAAAGTTACAACAAAGCCACACATCATGGATTAATACATCAAAAAGCAACCTCCATAAGCATCTGAAAAAGTATCTTATTAAAAGGCTGCATATTCAAAGGTGCAGAACCAAGAAAATATCCACATAGTCAAAATAAATAAATGAAAAAGAAAGAAAGAAAGAAAGAAAGAAAGAAAGAAAGAAAACCAATAAAGAAAAAGAAATATCATGAAGAGTAAAAAAAATTTCTTAAAAAAAGTACAAAGAATCAAATAACAAATAGATGCTTATCTTTTAACAAAATCCTAAAGTCAATTTCAAGGTCTTCAATTTCAAATGATTCACCTAAGACAACCGTAAAATAAAGTCTATATACACACAATTAAACAATGAAATAAGTATCAAGAATTTCTTCTCTGGAAAAAAAAAAAAAAAAAAAAAAAAAAAAAAAAAAAAAAATTTGAGATATGAGCAAATGACTATCTCTAATGGGCCCTATTATACTAAGATATATATTCTTAGTATTTTTGTTATAATTTACAGTTTAATTGTGCATGTAGACTTGTTGGAAAATTAAACACACTGGCAAACAAAGTATCTGTTAGAGTAAAAGGTAACAGAATATATTGATGAGCCGATGTTCCATCTTCAAGCAAAACCAAATTTAACTAAGGAGACTAGCCCAATTGGCCAGAACTCATACACCTCATTACAAGGTTAGTGGTTTGAATCTCCCCACCTTTGTGTGGTTTATTAGCCGTGAATTTATTGAGGCTTTCACTCCCACTTTGAGACTTTCATTGTATTGATAATATGTTGCATTTAATCTTTCATCATTCTGATTGTAATTCATTGGCCTTTATTATAATATCTTACATGAATCAAATCAAAAAAGAAATAGCACACGCAAATTTCAGAGACAGATTTTTTTTAATTGAATTACAGAGGGGGGGGGGGAATTAACATTTAGGGTTTAGGGTTTACAAGATCCAGAGAAAAGGGTAAAGATAAAGAATGAAGACCGATGATAAGATTGGATAAACTTGTACAAGATCCAGAGAAAAAGGTAAAGACAAAGAATCAAGAAGACTTTGAATATACATTCAGAAAATTCTCACCAAAAGCTACAACACTTTTAGATATACTTTATCAAACATTTTTGATTATCATGAAATGAAAATTTAGAAAAATGGAACAAACAGCAACAGTGCACAGCAAATCTAGAATCTACAAAGAAATAAACAATTAGATTCCCTAGCGATTCAATTGCTAAAAAGTAGGACAAGAAAATTGTATAATCATTCAATACCCTCAGTTTTCTTGGCAACCAAACAGAGCTTTCAAGGAAATAAAACAAATAAATAGATAAGTAAAGAATGAGCAAAGAAAAGGGTCCCATGATCTGTTTGTTTCCCGAGAAAAATAGTTCCATGGATTTTTTCCTCTTCTTTTTTCCAGAAAAGGGAAAATTTCCTTCAAGGCTCCAGTAATCTACAGTCGCCAAGAAGAAACTATTTTCTAGAAAGACAAAGAAAAAAAAAACACTACAATTTATTTTTTATTTTAGTAGAAATTGAAATTTCAACATAAAAATAAAAATAAAAATAAAAACAAAACAAGAGTTAGTTTGTAGTGAAGATTTGCTTATTAACTAAAAAAAAATAAACAATTTTTCAAGGATTCAATGACCTTGATAAAATAAAATTATCATTAAAAAAAATCATCAAAAACTTAATCCATAATAATAATAATAATAAAAGTCCTCAAAGCACAGAAAGAACACCAAAATCAAACTACTGAGAGAAAAAAAAATTACCTATTTTCGATCTTTGTCAAAAAAAAAAAAAAAAAAAAAAACACTACAATTTATTTTTTATTTTAGTAGAAATTGAAGTTTCAACATAAAAATAAAAATAAAAATAAAAACAAAACAAGAGTTAGCTTGTGGTGAAGATTTGCTTATTAACTAAAAAAAATAAACAATTTTTCAAGGATTCAATGACTTTGATAAAATAAAATTATCATTAAAAAAAATCCATCAAAAACTTAATCCATAATAATAATAATAAAAGTCCTCAAAGCACAGAAAGAACACCAAAATCAAACTACTGAGAGAAAAAAAAATTACCTATTTTCGATCTTTGTCAATTGTTTTTTATATGAATTTCAGTTCACAAGCTGAAGAAAAGCATACTTGTTTTTAGAGAGAGACAGAGAGAGAGAGAAATATATGTGAATGTGTGTATAGAGAGAGAATACAAATGAATGATGGTTCACGGATTGTTCAGAGAAAGAGTTGGGTGAGAGAGAGAGAGAGAGAGAGAGTTGGAAAATGAGATATTAAACTGGTCCACCCAACACAGATCAGTCCACTTTACCATCAGTTTCTAGAGAAATTATATTTTGCCCCAGGGGCAAAGTCATCTGGTGCTCCAGTTTCTGATTGTATTTTATGGTAATTACATCAAGACCCCTAAATTATTAGCTAATATTCTTTCTTTCTCATTTATAAAGAAATTAAGATGTATAAATTTATAAAATAAAAGACTAGATATTAACACCCCGTTTGAGCCGTGATTATTCGTTAGTCCGAGAACACAATCATGTGGTATTTCATGATCGTATGATTGGTGGAAATATGAAGTATTAATAATTTGTGTTTGATAATTCTCTGTATTGATACATTAACATTCTCCTTTATGTGTTTGCTGTAATGGTGTTTTCATCCTCTTTCCTTTGAATCAAAAAAAAAATTAAAAAAAAATAATAATTTGTGTTTGATAATTAAGAAATATAAAAGGCATAATGAATGGTGGTTAGTAAGAGAATATGGCCACGTAATATTATGAAACTATTATTTTCTCGTTCGATATATGGGTTGGAGCTAAATTAGTTAACAAAAAGACAAAAAAAATTAATTTAGTTAATAAAATAAAATGATAATACATCTAAAACATAATTATATTACTTTTTTCTCATAATCATCAAACACTGGGGGTCACTGGGGGTTGAAAAAGTGGGGGTGCAAATCATTTTTGATTAAGAAATATAAAAGGCATAATGAATGGTGGTTAGTAAGAGAATATGGCCACGTAATATTATGAAACTATTATTTTGTCGTTCGATATATGGGTTGGAGCTAAATTAGTTAACAAAAAGACAAAAAAAATTAATTTAGTTAATAAAATAAAATGATAATACATCTAAAACATAATTATATTACTTTTTTCTCATAATCATCAAATTAATTACAAAAAAATTAAAAATTTATCTCAAACATAACTTTTTTTTAACCAAGTTAAAATAGATAAAAAAAAAATTAAAAAGTAAGACTAAAAAAATTAATTCCAAACGGAAATTAATAATTAAAGAGTTTTGGTGCAATGATTTTTGTATTTTTAAGACAATTTGACCAATTAACAATTAGAATTTGGACTTCTTTGAAAAGTTAACTATTTTAATTAGTTTTTTAATATTTTAATTATTTTAGTCTGATTAGAAAATTATGTTCAAAAAATTATTTTAATTATTATGAAAAAAAATATAAAATAATTATAATTTAAATATAATATTTTATTTTATTAATTATTTTAACCTAATTTATTTTTAAATCTAAAATCATTTTCTCAAAAGAAGAAAGAAGAAGAAAGAAGAGGAGGGGAGGGGATGGAAGAGAGAGAGATCAATCTCCGAATTTGAACATGAATTTTTTGTTCAAAATCTGATGCAGATCCAGATCCATTTTCATCAACATCAAAAAAAAAATTTGTACAAATTTTTTTTGTTCAAAATTTGCAGACTCAAATCAGATTTTTTTTTATCATAATCTAAAATTGTTGTACAAATTTTTTTTGTTCAAAATCTGATGCAGACCCAGATCCATTGAACAAATTTTTTTTTTTTATCTAGATCCAGATCGAATTCTTTTTTCAACAGCTTCAGATTTTGAACATCATCATCATCTTCAGAATTGCAATTAAACTCCCATTTTTAATTCAACATCTGGATCAAACTCCCATCTTCAACATCATCATCTTCATCAACAAAAAAAAAATAAAAAATTCCTCTGCAGATCCGGATCATCTTCATCATCTTCAACATCTTCAACATCTTCAACATCATCATCTTCAACATCATCTTCAACATCATCTTCATCATCTTCATCAATTTCTGCAGACCCATCTTCTTTTTCAAAAAAGAGAAGAGAGAAGAGAGTGAGGGAATGGATCATTTTTCTTCTTTTTTTTCAACTCCTTCATCTTCTCAGAGAGAAGAAAAAAAAGAGGCTTTTTTTCAACTCCCGTTCTCTCTCTCCGATCCCTCCTCCTGAAACACCCATCTTCTTTTTTCTTTTTTTTTTCTACTTCATCTTTTTTCAACTCTGCCATGCTTTCTTCTTAGAGACCCTAGATCCACGAGGGAAGAAAAAAAAAAAAAAGAAAAAAAAATAGAGATGATCTGGGTTAGCAACAAATTTGTGTTGATTTTTTGTGTTTGATCTAATCGAATCAAACATTTGTGTTGATCAAACAAATTTCCAAACAAACTCTTCTCTTCCCTCTCCGTCTCTGTGTTCGAAAGAATGGAGGGGAAAGAATGAAAAGGAAAGAAATAAAGAAGAAAAAGAAAAAAAAAAAGAAAAGAAAAAGACAGCCCAAAACGACGTCGTTTTGGGCTGTCGAGCCAAAAATCGAGCCAATCTTTTCGAGCTACCAGTCATTTTCGTTAAAATAATCAATAGTTGCAAAACTAAAAAACCAACTCACCTTGCAAACCAGCGCGTGGTCTCGTTGAACAATTGTTGACTTACCATTTGGGCACTGACGTCACCATTTCACATAAATACCAACCATTCGGATTCACACTTGCGCCATCATTGTAATGACACAATCTTTGTTACTCCCTCCGTCCCAAAATAATGGTCCCTTTTGGGGAATCTAACTTTTTTTGGTAGTACAATTATTGTACTTTTAAAAAGTTGATTTTCCAAAATTACCCTTTGATAGTACACTTTTTTGAGAATATCAATGTCATAATTGTACTTTTTATATTATTTATGAATTTAAAAGAAGGGCAAAATGGGAAATTTATATTATTTTTGTACTTGATTTTTGAAGATGGACTAATATTTTGGGACAATGAAAAATGGAATAAGGGACTAATATTATGGGACGGAGGGAGTATATTATTCAATAGTCATAAAATAATCACCTTAATAGTAAATTTTTCTTAATTTAAAATGAAAATAAATTTACATGAGCATTTTACAAGAGAATAGCTCATTTCCAATTCAACAATGATAGAGACCAGTAATTTTGGAGCTCTAAAAAGATCACTAATGACATGGCACTCAATAAAAAAGAAAAAAAATACAACATCAAGGCCAAAACATCAAATCGTTTATGGTGAGGCCTATTGCTACATCATTAATGGTAGCACTAATTAGTACTCCCACTCATTTTCCTTTCCAATCCATCTAGAATTGGAAAAATCCAATCGGACCCATTGTGGGTCAATCTTGCATTCATCTTGAGAATCTAAGTCCATCATTTTAAGGGAATTATTGAGTATATTATTTATATTAAAAATTAGGTTGATCAAACATTTCACAATTTTGGCCTTGATAGGATTGTACTCTAATCAATTGAAATAGTCATTTGATTGGATTATATTTAAAAAAAAAATAAACAAATTTTTTGATTTCGTCTATTTTTAATAGAATTCTAATGGTGGATCCCACAAGGAGATGTAATGTTTTGGCTTGCTTTTCTTCTTCTTTTTTTTTTTTTTTTGACACCTCACTAGAGCTTCTGTTAGAGCTATAGTGTTAGAATTCTCTATCACTATTATGATGTTGGTTATGACTTAATTATGACATTATGATATTAGTTATGACTATTGTAATGTTAATTTTTTTTTTTTTTTTTTAGATAATTAGATGTCTAAGTCAGTTTACGCGCACTCTAACTAATCTCGGGAGAACAATCCCGTCATTCACTTGCAAGAGTCCCATTTAAAACCAAAGCAAATGCCCTGTATGGACTAAATCCAACTAACTTATTGCAGTTAGTGAGTATTTAACCTATAGCGTAGTGACTATATATTGCGATGTTGGTTATGAAAATTATTTTTATTTTCATTTAAAAAGTCATTAGTTATATCTTATATGGCATTTGGTTAAGACTCCTTATTTTATTTTAATTATGACTAAAATATAATTTAATTATGACATTTATAATAATCAAATCATAAATTTCATAACTTACATATAATATACATTTCAAATAGACTATGTATAGCAGGACGTACTATATTCCTAAAAGATACTCAAATTGTGATTTGCCCCTAATTTTTTTAAACAAATTAAATCTGAAAATATGTTCAAAAAGGCTATTGGTTACATAAATGATGTTTTAGAAGTACAAATTTCCCCTCCCCATTCCCAAAAAAAATTAATTAATTTAAGAGGTATTGCTACAATAGAATTAAAACTATGATCAATATAGGGTATTCAATGAATATTCTCAATGTTATTGGTGGTGCTTACATGTATCAATTAATATATACATTAATATATTAATTAACGTTATGTCATTATTATTGATATTATTTATTATACAAATAGCAAATATACAAATTTTTTAAAATTATGTCACATCATCTGTTAGTATACTAGTTAGTACATTAATTTGTACATATAGCCAAGGTTTTGAAACATGGACCAGTGAGTGAACCGGAAAAGGGACCTAGTGGATGAATCACTAGTTCAACCGTCGGGTTAAATCAGATCGAACCGTGACGTCATAATTATATTATAAATAATTTTCTAAAAATTATAAATTAACAATATAGATATTAAATTTTAAATTTTTTTTTAAAAAAAATTCTTAAATATTTTTAGTAATGTTTTTTATATTTAAAAAAATTCCTAAATATAAGTCATAATACTTTACATGCTAACAACAAATAAAATTAAAGATGAAATAGAATTGTACATGTAATATATATATATATATATTGAGTCCAACCATTCTCTTTGTACATATAATATAATATACTTTACATACTAACATCAAATATAACATAATATATAAGTCCTAAATATATATTGAGTTCAACCTCACACTGTACATAATACATATAATATATATGTATATATTGGAAACCTTTTGAAACCAAATCAAAGATCACTATGACTGTGATAC